AGTTGGGTAAATACATGCCTGGATACAACATGGCATAATGCTGGGTCAAATTGCTGGCTGCAATTTGCTCTGGTTTCTGCATAAAGCCTTTTCAGCACTTTACTACCACCTGACCTCAGCTGAGGAGGTAAGAGGTACCTGGGTACCAAAGGGGCCCGTTACAAGGGAGCTATCTTACCCAGCAGGAAGACTGGCTAACTTCCTATTGAGCAAACAGGGAGTCAATCATGCACTGGAATTCATCCTAGCAATTTCATTGGACCTTTTATTTCTCTTTTTCTTCGTACATTAACAATGTAATTATAATTTCAAGTTGAGGATTTAACTTGTGAACTCTTGGGGGAAAGGAAAGGATATACATTTTGCTAAGTCAGAAGCTAAAGTATTTTGTATTTCTATTAAAATTATTCTTAATATGGAGAGCCTATCATCTCAACACTTCTATATCATAGGGGATAAACAACTGCAAAAATATACAGCATCCTATTTATTTACAATATATATATGTACATAAAAATGAAATTTCCTACAATACAACACAACTGCATAGATTTGTCTTCAGAAACATAGGCATGTGTACAATTTGTGAATTCTAGACCTTTCCAGCCCTGTACTTATTAGTCATTCATTATCTGCTTTTTTTTTTTTCACAGTTACAGAAATCCTTACATTAGATACAAATAAAACATTCTTTGTGTAAGTTATAGGAAATAAGGATTTTCCTGACGCCAAGGGCTCTGGGGAATTGTTTAAGAAAGCAGCCTGGCGCCAGGAGATAAAGCTGCTGATGGAGCTGAGTACATTCTGCTGTGCCTTTCTCCTACAGGCACTGGGGTGGGACGGTAGGACTGGAGGTGGTACACCACCACGTGGAAAGGGTTTTGTTTTGACCAAGATGCTCTTTAGCCTTAATGTAAGGTTCAAGCAAAGAAACATATTCCTTTGAAGATAAGCTAGAGATACCATTCATTGTTACTGTTAATATCAGAGAGGGCTGTGGTGCTCATGCATTGTAAGGCAGATGTACAGACACAACCCATATATCATCCACCCTGCAGTGTGACCTAGTGCAAGTGGAGCACAAGCTATGGGTCGGTATGTGGCTCAGGAAAGCAGCCCTCGGGAGTGGATGGGTGTCCCCATCCCTGACCGAGCAGGATGAGACCGGCCGTTCTGCCCTGGGCCTGGGCAGCACTCAGTCCACATCAGCCCTACAAAAGGTCTGTGCTGGTGCACGGATTTGGCATTGGCCCTCTGAGCAGGAGCAAGCATCACCCAGAGAGGTCACTGCTCCCAAGATGCTGTTCCCAAATAACAATTTACTGTGTTTTACTTACTAGGCGTGTTTGCCATCGGACAGAGAAGGGCAGCTGTATTCTGCAGCCATAAGGGTGCTTTAAGCTCATGACTATTTTCTTTGCAATGTGCTGTGGACTAGGAGAGGCATCCAGGCTGTCTTTTAAGTGTAGGATTAACTCCTACAGTCTTATTAGGAGCCCCTTTTTCTGATTAGTCCTTCCTTGTCCCTCACCACTCAATTGTTGCTATTACACAAATTAAAATTTTAAAGTATTTTGTTGTAGCTATTAGGAGCAATTTTGCATCCAGTCTATGACATTTGCAGTGCTCACAATAGTGATAAACTCTCTATGAAAAGAAAGCATGCTACCACCTACTAAGTAGATACGGTACTCTGGATCCTATTAATTTAACAAGAGAAACTCCTACAGCATTTCACTGTGCTCTTAAAATCCTAGCTAAAATGTGGGACTCGTACATCGTTGGCTACAAGTTCACTATTCCAAATGAACTGAATAACAGCAGTACATTTTACAGATAACCTCATACAAATATTGTCATCCATCACTGATGTTGACAGTTACAGCAGGGTCTATTGCATTCTGTTAAGAATGTATAAACCTGATGAGAAAACAAAAAGCACGTTATTTCACGTTCATTACCACAGACATCAATAAACACATGATTCCTTTCCATAAATATCTATAAATATGATGCCAGTAAATCAGTCTAAGGAAAATTCCTTTTTTTCTTTTTTTTTTTCTTTTTTTTTTTTTTTCCAGAGACCCAGAAACAAAGTCTGTTTAAAGACTCAATATTTTGGGTATCTATTTTTCAGTATTTTAAGATATACTTTGATGGTTTGGTACCTCCGGTAATTTCACTCTATGCACACACCCAGCTCATTCTTCTCTCTATTTATCCAGTAAAACTCCAGTATACAACTAAACTGGGAAAAAGAAGAAGGCAGAATAGCAAAGAGGAGACAGAGGGATAGTGATGGAGGAGATTTGGGAAGATGTAAGGAGCAATCAGTCACCCAACAGCCCTTCAAGTTGAAAGAAGCTGGGTGCCAAAACTCAATGGTTGGTATTTTAAACACAGGACTACAGACTATTTGGGGGCAGTGGGAGGGAGATGTCACAGCTGTGTCCTTGCTGGGACCCTGTGCAGCAGGTCAGACCTCTAGCTCATACCTGGGTACTTGAAAGTCGCTCCCAGGATCTCATCTCTCACAACCCCCCAATGCACAGAGCTGCACTGCTTATAAATCAGTAGTAGAAGAAAGATGAAGGGGGGAGGAAAGCAGGAGAGCCCTGGAGCATCTTGAGGATAACACTGTACAGCAGTCTCAGGTCTGAGTAAGGTTTTTTAGAATAAGATTCAGAGAGATTATAAGGCACCTCAAAACCTGAAATGTGACGCCAGCACGCTGAGTCAGAGAATGGAGGGAGATGCTGGGCTTCTGCTGCAGTGACCAGGGAGAGTTGGGTGTCTGTAAAAGGGGAGCCACAAACATATCCCGAGCTGGGAAGATGCGGGGAACGAGCTGCGAGGAGACAGTAACCAAGCCTAGGTTCTTCTCTCCAGAGCTTGACTAACAAACACCTGGGCTCCTAGGCTATGGTAGGGACTTCTCTGTGAATAAGGGCAGGGATCAGTCTCATAAAGAGAAAGGGCAGAGAGAACTGGTGACCTGCAACATCGCAGGCAAGGGTTTGAGACCAGCTGCAGGAAAGCACGAGTGACCTCAGCCCGGGGGTCCCAGGTAGCCCAGCAGTTCATGTGTTAAATGCTGGGCTGGGGGTGCTTGGGAGGAAGGATGCTGCACTGGAGTCCTTGTTGGGAGCCTGTGAGTGAAGGTTTGAGGGGCCAGGAGGAGGACAGAATGAGGGAACCCTGCTCTGCAGTCTAGCACATCACTTTGCTCAGAAGAAGGCTTCCAGTTTTTTTCTCGCTGCTGGGCTACTCTGAGGACTCAGGCAGCCTGCCGAGTCCACTCTGCCTTATTTCTGATCACAGTATGGGCAGAACTGGGTACTTCACTGCCTAGGCTGAGCTACAGATCTAGCAGTCTGTGTTTAGTAGGCTTAGCTTCTGCAGCATGAACGCTCTGCATCTCGATGCCCAAATTGCAAGGAAGGCCCCAAATGAACCTCTCTGGATGTTACCCTTAGAAACCAACTTTTGAGGTCCTGAGAAGGGCTGTGTGGTCTCAACTCTCAGGGACTTCAAGCTGTGTAGGACAAGGCAATGGCAACTGGGGCAGTTCATTAGCTCATAGAAATCCCAAGATCCCAATTTCTCCATCTCTAACCTTAAAAAAGAGCAAGCTGCAATGACAGGTTCCCCACAGCTGATGATAGTGTCCTTCCACAGTTACAATGGGAGTCAGCAATGAACCAGCTACTGGGAACAAGAGGGTCACTGCATACTGACAGGTACGGCTCGAGCACACCCAGGGCACACTCAGCCCCTGGGCGTGAAGCGGGGCTCCCTTTCGCCATCGGTTCTTTCAGTGGGAGCCAGGTTCATATTTCAAGACACTTCTTAGCTCACATGGTGAATGACACAAAGTGAACACATTTATGCTGTTGGCAGTGCACTAATAGAAGATGTCTGCTCAGGATGGTTAACAATCACCTGCTTAGCATTTGAGTCTCTACAAGTAGTTCTCTACACCAGCTCTAAGGCATTAGGCTAATACTTGTTTTGTGGACAACAGATGCAAGTTACAGTGTTTCTGCTAGTAGTAATTTAATGTCTTTAATTGTTATGGAGAATCAATGAGCAATGTAAATGAAACATTTTAAATATAAAAAGTGTTTGTTTGTTTGAAGAAATGTTACAGATTTCAATTTCCATTAGAAATCCAGTAGTTTGGCAGGGTGAGTCAAATCCTGCTCCCGCTGATGTCAAAAACCGCACTGACTTCAGCGGGAGGAGGGTAAGACACAAGAGAAGAGCCAGTCTCTACAAGGTATGTACAAATGAACTCCAGAATGGAAAAGGCATGAGGTATGACTAAATGTGTAGGTTTTGATAAAACTGGAGCTTGGTATTTTTTTTTTTCTGAGAGAAGTGGGGCATTAGTAAGCAGTTTAACGCTGAAGGAAACAGACTTCCTATGGAAATCTCACAGCATCTCCTCTTCAGGCTCAAGTACTCATGGCTTGGGGTCAAATCTAATTCTGATCAGGCTCCAGCTGAAGTGTGCCAGGGGAATGGTGGCTGGTGGTGGTGGCTGTCCTTCTCCTGCTCCCTGCACCCCATCACAAAGACACACAGGTCTGTTCCCCGAAGCCACAAAAGGGCCAAGCCCTGGGGCTGGCTCCCCCACTAGAACATTAGGGAGAAGCAACAGATTTAGGACCTACACTTATACTATGCTCATTTACGCTCTCGTGGTGCCTTTCGTGCCTATATCCAGAATGCTACACTTAACACAGTGAGGCAAATGGCGCACGAAACAGCAACAGAACAAACAAACCAACAAACCAGATGCGTACAATCGGAGAACAGAGTTTTGGCTAAAAGGCAGGGGGAAAGGTGTGAACTGACATCACTCCAGTTGGGATTGGTAACAAGAGGCGCTGCTGCCCTAAAGCAGCAGAGCTTATGGTTGAAGGGCTAAGGACAGTAATGGAACAATGCAATTCATGGAAGGAAGAGGGGAAACAAATCAACTGTGATGAATTTCTATGAGCAACGTTCTATATAGTCTCACAGACAAATAACACAGACTTTAGGCTGATCTGATAACTCAGTATCGGGGGACAGAGTGATATGCCTGTTGGAAAAATGGGTCTGTTTTCTGCAAGAAAATACACCCAGAACAGTATTTTCAGTACTGGATAATCATTATTTGGATTTGATTTGAGTAAACTCACAAAAGATGGAATAGATAACAGAACGGATGGTTGCGATTTTGGTGTGTAGCAAACGGGGGTGTCTTCTTCTCAGCAGGAGGTGAACTTCAGTGGCCTTCGGCACTGCCTCCTGATTGTACCCAGTCATAGATGACCAAGGGAATGCTCACTAGGGAAAACATTATCCCTAGCGCCAAGAAAAGCGAAGCCTGGAACAAAAAAGAGAGAAAATTAATGAATAAAGTGAAAAGACAATTAATTCAAGTATGTTAACTTCTCCTCTTAAGGAGATTTACAAGGTGATGTATCAAAGTTATCAGCTAAAATGGGATAGCACTTCTGGTAAAGACAAGACCCATAGATAATTAAACAGATTAGCGTCATTAATAATTGCTCACTGAACACCAAAACCAATTTTTTTCTCCTTTCAATTCACTCCTTAAACACCAATCACCTTTAAAGAGGATTAAATGAGTCTGTTTTTAGGACTGAGCGGCTCTGCTCTTTTCAAAGCCTCATGGAAATAAATATACTCCTCCCATCAGATACATGCCCATCAAAGATCAGCCCTTTCATCTTGGGGTCGGTGGATGGAGCCACAAATGAAACACAGCCTGTCTGCTCAGAGCAGGAAGGTCTGACCTTACGGTGCTTCCACTGCATGTCCCGTTAGACTGGGAATACACAGGAGTGTTGCATCTTTTCAGCTGCAGCTCTTTCTGGGGCTGACAGGAAATCTTTCGAAGGCTCATCTCCATCTGCTCACATGTGCCAAAGGGCTAGCATTTCAGCTGGCTGCTTCTGGTGGAAGCACCCTAAGTCTGACTTGGGTCCATTAAAACCACAAGGAATACTGCAAATGGAGCGTGTTGCACACTTTCTGAATCAACACGCTGAAACAGAGACAGTTTGCTGGGCTGAAAGGGCTGCCCAAGGGGGCTGGAGGGGTACATGCACGCCGCCGACAGCTACGGCTGCTGCAGAGCCAGGGGAAGAGCCCCTCGCCCCGCAGAGAAGGGCCCTCCAGAACACAAGGTGCCCCCCTGCGTGGTGCAGCCCCTCCACTGGGAGACCCCCACGGTAAGCAAAGGAGAAAGGCAAGCACGGCTGCCAGCTGACTGAAACAAGGAGGGGGGGGAAAGTAACGTACGGAAGCTCACACATATGTTCAGATGAGGTATGCTTTACTCTAGCACATGGTAAGGAATGACAAGACAAAAGCGTTGCATTGACGGGAAAGGAATGCATACCCAGATCCTCTGAGTCAACTTTGATCCATCCTGCTGTGTAATTTTTAAATACAACGATGAAGGAAGAATGAAAATCAGCATATTGGCAGAAGTGACCCCTGCAAAATGAAAATAAATGAGTTTTGCTAGCTGTCAGCAACAGCTGATTATTGTGTTGCTGATTAGCAACAGCCTTTTATTAGTAGTACAAAAGCAGGATACTGTACCTACAACTCCAAAAATATCCTTCATGGTTGGGATAAAAATGACTAACAGGTTGATGATAACCAAAAGAACAAAAGTAACCCAAACATGATGGCATAAGTCAAATTTTGTTTTTCTAGCCAGCTCAAATAATGATGAACGTACCTGTAGGAAGAGAGAGAGAGTTCTCTGTCAGGAACAGTCTATAAGCCAATTCAAAGCTTCCCCTGTTTGTTTTAACCGGTTCTTCATGTGACAACAAGTGCTGCATAGATCTGTTGGAAATTTTGGGGTCTTTTGAAATAATCCTTAAAATTATTTCGATATTTCAAAATGGTGGGTATACTTGCATCTGCAGTAGGATATTGCTCTCTTTCTAACATGCCTTTTGGGATCCTTCTGCACTTAAAAATGAACTTTACCTCTGAGCCTGCTCCAGTGAAGTAATGTGAAGTAAGAGAGAGCCCTTGTGAATTCAGTTTAAAACAGATTTAATACCAAAAGCGATTAATTTATTTCCCACAGGGAGAACTTCTCCAGAAGTTAGTGGGAGTCTGATAAGGGAACAGACTGATCCAAGCTCAAGCTCTTTTAGCTGCAACATCACTGTCTCACCAACTGCTGGACTGTGGTTTGAAAAAACGCACCTTGTACAGCCGTTACTGACTTCCAAACTGTGTAGGGCTTTTACTTACAGTGAAAAACAGCACCGGCACTGTGAGTATCACTGCAACGATCACAGCCAAGCGCACGGTCAGGATGAGGATGTCATCTTTGCTTTGGTACTTGTGAAGCAGATCTGACTGCACATTGTCTATGGAAAAGACAGTGAGATAAGTGTTCTGGCAAACAGGCGATTCATTCACAAAAATCATGGCTTAACAACAGCCTTCTTGAACAACAAGTGATTTATCTGCAAACAAAAGAGTATGGAATGAAACATTCTTGAGTTAAAACAGAGCTTTGAACCAAATCCTAATGATCCCATTATTCCAGATTAATCCTTTGGAGGCCTGATTTAGGAATGCATCCTAATTCAAGACAGCACATGCCTAAGTCTAAGGTAATTTTCACTGTAGGAAAGACAACAGTGAGACATACACGAAAGCTTGCTTACATATATAAAAAAATAAGTAAAGTGAAATAAGCTATTTCTAATTGGTTCTGTGGGCTTTTTTTAAAGTTTCAAATGATAGGAAAATAACCACATGCACTGCAACGGCTGAACTTAACATAAACTACAAGGTTTTTGAGCTAAATTAGTCTAAACAGCAAATAAACTTCCAGCAAAAAGCAGTGCCCTTGTTCTGAATGAAGAACAAAGCCTATCTCGGGTCATCTCTCAGTGGGATGCTCTGACATTTGCACTCAAATCTCTCGGCAGTCCTCTGAGGGCTGCCCTGGTGGTTTTTTCTCTTGAACCTGCCACCCCCCCAGCAGTGCCTGCAGCTCGGCCCCACGTGGGTC